GTATGCCCCCGGCCGCCGCAGTGGTGGCTTGGCTTTCAAAATGGTGACCACGCGGTTGCAGGACAGCTGGCGCACTTTTCGTTGCCGTGCCCGCCAAGCTGACGTCACGTGAATACAACCTATAGATCACGTCCCACATCGGTGGAGACATTTCACGTATGGACATGATGGCAAATTATCAGAAGAGGAAGGGTGTGAGATGGGGGTTGTTATGCTCGAATGACAATAAACTTGCCATAGATCATCATTATACGAGACTCTGGCAAAGTAAACTATTGTTCAGTAACCCCTGCATCCCCCCCCCCCTTATTTTTTGCTCTGAAGGATCCTTAATAGAGAGAAGGTGCATTTTTCGAGGGTCATGCCCATGTATACAATGTCACGGAGGTGATTAGATGGCACTTGGGAGCCTTTGTTGAAAGGCTGCAGTGTGAGTCACCTTGGGAGCCTTCGTTAAAAAGCGGCAGTCTTGAGTTGAAATGAAATTGAAGTTAAAAAAAAAAAAGAAACAGACAGCACTTCAGGTACCTGTGTAAGTGGGTACAGATGGCGAGTGGAAGTACACGATTTCTTATAATATGAAAATGAAGTTGCCAAATTCTCAGTGCCATGCAATGCTTTTGCAAATGTCAAGAAGTGTAAATTTAAAGGCTCATTATTTTGTTATATGTCATATGTATAGCATACCGTTTTCTTGTGGTAGGAGGAGGAAGAAGAGGAAAGGAAAGACAGGGGTGTTATCCATTCCTTGTGTTGTGGTAGATTGTGCATAGGACAGGCGGGACGCTCAAATAACATGAAAAGTTCATAACATCCGCGGGAGAAACTAGCCTGCTCGAAAAGCAGAGTGTGCGGTTGCTTGCCCATTTTTCACGATACCCAGCAATGAAGTAAATGGGAGAGGGAACTGAAAGAAGCATATAAAACGCCACGAAATGCCAGAAAGGACTGAAGCATAGAAAATGCAAAGAATAAAGACATGGTCCTGGTCGTGTACCTTTCATTGTTATCATGAAAAGACGCTGCAGGATCACCATTTTAGAGAAATGTAATTAGAATGTATCGTGCTCCGAGTGATATCCTTACGTTTTTACAGTGCATGAGCGTGTTCGTAATCGGATTGTCTCAGGCACAGTGTTTTCTTCTGTACCAGCTGCATCACGTGTAGCGCATGTGCGTTTTTGTTTTCCTTTCGAACCGTGTTGCTTCATTAAACTGTTGCAGTGATGAAAGTCCTGCTCCAATTGCTCCAAAGTGCTCCAAAAGAGAAAGACTGCTCCATGCTGCTCCAAAGTGCAATATTTGCTAGTAACTGTTTCAAAATGGTGTCAGCAAACTAAAAAGAATAAAATTGAACCATGGGACCATCCCATGAGTCTAAGTGAAACCAAAAGCAAGCTGTGTACGTTATCATCCTAGTATGCTATTCAGTGGCATAAATTCAGAAAAATCTCAAGGGGCGACGCATATCGGGTCATGGTGTCCACTTCGTATTTTTAATATGGGATGAATTTTCATTTATATCAGAAATAAATCATGCCTTCTAATAAAATTAAGAAAGAAACTAGCATGAGGTCCGAGCTTGAGCAATTGCATTGTTATATATTCAGTCTCTTTTTTTCAGCTTTTCTCGATTTTCATAGTTTAGTTCACACAGCTGAGAGGCATTTAACACAGGTACGCAGTAAAAGATAAAAGCCTTTTAAAACGTTTATTGCACTATACTTAACTGTAAACTCAATTATATCATGTGCTGAAGCTAAATCTCAAGGGGGACACTTGCAAGGGCTGTCCTCCCCAGCTTGAACACAAGAAAAGTCCGAACTCCCTTCCACCCCCCCCCCCCCTTGATTTACGCCAATGATGCTACTATACGGCTTGTATGCTAGCTGCATACTAGCATATGGCATGTTTAATAATAAATATAAATATTTATTAGATGCTTAAGTGATGTTTTAGACTTAAGGAGTCGTTAGGAACATGCATTTGCTCCGAAAAGACCGATAGGAACACTAATATGTAGCACTTTTTTCTGTTTTGAAGACACTTGAGCCTGCTCCAAAGTACCGTTTTTTTCTGCTCCAGAATCTGCTCCAAAAAAGAAAATGTCGCTTCCATCACTGCTGTTGCTAGTCGCAGCTTATATGTGTTCATGAATCCTGTTGTGTGTGCGCGTAGTTCAAGGCTGGGTTTGTTGTTATTTCAAATGATATGCCAGCAGCTTACTTCCATGAATCTTGTGAAACATATGCAAACACAGTACCAAAAAAAAGTGTTGCACATTTGTGGAAGCAATAAACACGTACGGCAGTGACACTGTGCTTTGATGTGTGTTCGATCCCAGCTGCAGTAATCACACTTTGACGAAAGCTAACCGGCAGTTAAAACTTCCCTGGAAATTAATATCTTTTACATCACTTGACATTATTGCCCCCTTCCCCTCCCCAATCACTCCATTTTTTTTTCTGATTTTCAATATGCATGCTCAAAAACAAAGCATTTACGAAACGTTTGCCAGTTCTCTTCTAGTAATCTCATATGTCATTTTCTGCCGTTGATGGTAAAAGCTCTGAATTTCAGCTAATTAAGCAACCAAGATGCAGTAAACAGCTTTTTGAACTTGTAGTTTCGGTTTCCACGCCACCAGTGCCACTACCACCGCTGAAAAGTAACCGTACATGCGCCGCTGCCAATGATTTTACTCGGCGTGTGCCGGCGCCGCCGCCAACTGGGAACGACCCACACACTGCGACTGGTCCAAACCGCCTCGGCGCATACCTCAAGGCAGTGCAAGCCAAATCGAAAAGACCTGTAGACTTAGCGATTAGCCGATTAGATCTGGCAACGACACGATGGTGCGTTGAACTCAATGCGATGAATTACATAGCAACAAACTAATGTTATACGAAGTAAGGCTGTCAGCCAACTCTTTTGGATCCGATATCAGAGTCCTATCCTAGAAAACACTGGTGTAAGCTTTAGTGTACATGTATCCCGAAGGAGTACGGCCACTAGCGTGGGTCCGGTCTTAGCGAGCCGCAGGGAACGCGTTAATCGTCGCCATGGCGAGAACACGATACTGCTCGAAGTCGCAACACTTTATTGTCTGTGGCAACACCAAAACGCAGTACAGCCTGTTGAAAAGGCGCGGCGGGAAAGCAAATGGGCTTATACACTCCACGAGCGAAAAGTAATACATAGGGTACCACGAGCACGTCTCCGTGGTAAAGGTGATTCACGAAGACACCAAGACTAAGGCCCGGTTGCTCGAGCGAGGGCAAAGGCGCTCACATTGGCTTCGGAGGGAGACGGGTCGGCGTAACTTGGCCACGCACTAGGACACCGTACCACCCTTCGGCCGAGCGTACGCAGAGGTGCAACAAGAAGTGAGCGTTTGCCTCAGGTGCAAGGTGCCGTCAGCCAAGTCCGACGAGCCCCTAGCGATGGGAGTTGATGGACGGAAAAGATGGCGTGGCTCACCGTCAGCTGTCCCGGAGAGTATCTGCCCCGCTCCTGACGCACGCGCGCGAAAACATCTCAGGAGACTTTGCGTGTGGCGCCACACTCGACATCCGCTACCGGGTGAGAGGGGTGAAGACGTCACTCCGCTTTCCCAGGGCCGCAGACAGCGGAGGAGGGAAGTCATGTCGGGACATGAGAACGGCAGAAAAGGCGGCAAAGCCGGCGCAAATGCAGCGGGCTAGCCTGAATTCCCACAAAGCAAATACGGCCACTCTGGGAAGAAGTGCTCTTTCCACACAGTCTCTTCGCGTAGGAAGCGCATGCACTGATGCTTGCCAAGATTGCGCACACGCCGATTGTGACTGCGCCCTTGAAATCTAAGTTCACTGTTGCTACTCGAGCGACTCTCCTTCCCCTGGGATTTTTCATGCTCGTTGAAGACTGGTTGTTTCCTTTCTGTTAAAGCATTTGATGGCAGTTCTAAAACGCGGGGGGGGGGGGTGTTATGGTATGCGCACTTCAGGCGATAGATAGGCCGGCACATTTGATGTTTGCTTCAGCAGCACTCGCGCGCTTTTGCCCGCTCATAAAAGTTACGGCGCGTGGGGGAGTGTTATCAGTTTGGGCTTGTTATGGAACATGGCTGCGACAGCGAAAACCCCCTGAGAGTGTCCAAATAATTGCTATCGCAATAATGCTGTTTTTCACTGCTAAATAAGTATTTTGGGTTAGCTCTGCCTTCGGTTTCCTTTTGTTTACTTTGTCAGCTTATTTTTTTGAATTTTCGTACCGAACCTGCATATAACAGAATCCTCTTTATAATAAATTTTTCCGGGAATTCTTCAACTTGTTTATATCCAGATTTAACTGTAGTACAATTTCATTTTGGTTATAGTATCCATTTTCAGCAAACCCAAATTAGTATACTCTTTTCACCTTGTTCACAGGAAGTGACACATCGAAGGGGATAGTGCCTTCATCAAAATTATCATGTACATGAAACAGCACATTTCAATATTAAGTGAAATAAAGACAAATTTATTATACTGAAGGCTCAATTAGCCCAAAGCTCAATATACATCGTTTTTGCTTAGCCTCTAATTGATAAAACCAGCAAAACCTAGTGGTGTACACATTTACTCACATAGTGTGGGAAAGGGTTAATCGACCCCTATAAGTGTCTGTAAGTTACCTGAAACTTCTCTCAATCAGCGGCTGACTCGCAGGTCGCGGGATCGAATACCGGCCGCACTTTCGGCAGAGGCGAAAAGGTGTGGGGCCCGTGTGCTTAGATTTACGTGCAGGTTAAAGAACCCCAGGCGGGTTAAATTTGCAGAGCCTTAGTATCTCTCGACCATAGTCATATGGTGGTTTTGGGATGTTAAACATTACTAATTATTGTTATTATTGAACTTTCTCTCAACGAAGGGTGTGCAATGCTTTTAACACAGCTTGTTGTATGAAGCCTTTGATAATCTGTAACTGAAAAGAATAGACTAGCCATCTTGTTGCCAGTTGAGTGGTGCTTGCATTTGCAGGGAAGGCTCTCCGTGTGCAAGTGTGGCGAGTGGGCAACAGCTCTGTTTCCGGGAGGCAATGGATGCCTTGCTGTGCTGCTTAAAAGAGGTGGGCACCTCGCTGTTCGTGTGCGGTGAATATTATTCTCCAAAACTAGAAAACAGCCTTGTGGTGTGCGTTGTAGTGTGGTGAGCTCCAAGCATGGAGGGTAGGAGGGGTTGCTGATGAAATCTTTTGAGTACCAATATTTGCAGCCTCTCAGTTAGTAATTGCCCAATCACTTACTTTAATTTTATATGTGTAACACCTAAGAGAAGACAGAAAGACTTTCTTTGTGGCTGCAGTTTAGCCTTGTTAGGCTGTAGGCCTTGCTTGTGACAAAAAGTGTTGAAAAAAAAAAAAAGAGAAAAGAGGGAAGAAAAAAAATGGGCCGCGTGTCTGCGTGTTTCGCAGCAATCGTCGCCGAAAGACGAAAGTATTCCGTCTGCAGAGGGTGAATAAAACGTTTGTTTGATGTCCTGTGCTAAAAATTTAGTGAATGGGATTCTGGAGGCGCTGCGTGAGACATGAGTGCCATCTGGCGGTAATCTTGGAAAACGATAGGATCTATATGCACATGGCCTCCGATATAACAAGTGCATGACGTGCGCGTGCCATCTCGAAGGCCATAATTTGTAGAATGCAAAGCCATGGGTTGGTAGCACCAAAATTTCGTCTTAGCAAAGCACAGAAATGCCCGCTTTTTTGTGCATAACATCACATTTTCAGAGCAGCGTAATAAACGCTACGGTCTTTACAATTACGTGGCTATGCCTTTTCTAGTATAAATATTTACACCACGAATTATTGATGTGTTGATAGTGTGCCTCACGTATGTGCAGCAATATTTCCATCTTAATCGACAATGTGCACAATTATGAACGCAGACACCCGATCACGATTGGTGGGTATTGAGGAAGTGGTTCAACTTTGGCCTACTAGGTGAATCGTTTTGGTTGACAGACAAACGAGTTGAACGACAGACACACAGACAGGTGGCCCAAACTTTTCGCATTGAAGTATCCCTAATAAGACTATCATCTTTAATTGAAAAAAAAGTTGTCTGGTACCTTCAATAGCATGAACACACCAACCAGCCCAACAAAGCATTTTTGTAGCTCTGTGTATACATATGATGCTTTTTGCTGTCGCACTCAACAAATTGCCAACTTCGGGATATCGGCGCAGGGTCTCCCTCACTGCACTGTTTCATGTTGCTATGTAGCTGACATATCAGCGGTCAGAAGATGACAACGAGGAAGTGGTCTGTCGGTTGTGCGTGCTGTCTTTCGTCTTAGTCGATGCTATACGCATCAGTGTGAATATAGATTCTAAATAGACACGTCTCAAGTCATTGTTACGTAACATCTTTGTGGCGGAGGTGCTGGGTACTTCGCCGTCTTCATCACGAAGCTCCGCAACGGCCGCATCATCATAGGTCCAACCATGTCACAGGTTGAACAACCATCGTCTTCACCACCTGCCCCTTCCGTGACTTCTATGTACGTCGTTCTAACTCCTGGTCGTGATCCCGGTGTATTTTCGGGTCAGGATGGCATTGACGTCGACAAATGGATCAACCGGTACGAACAGGTCAGCGCAAGCTATAGGTGGGACCCGACTCTTATGCTTGCCAATGTGCTTTTTTTACCTCGATGGCCACCGCGAGTGTGGTTCGAGACGCACGAAGTGGATATTACAAGCTGGGACTCCTTTAAATAGAAGATCCGCGACCTTTTTGGCGGCACCGTTGGGCGAAAAATCGCAGCGCGTAATCAACTGGCGGCTCATGCACAGACGTCGACTGAGTCTTGTGTCGTGTACATTCACGACGTCATCGCCCTGTGCCGCCAGATTGACGAGCACATGAGTGAGTTTGAGAAAGTGGCCCATGTGCTGAAAGGCATAGCAGACGACGCCTGTAATCTTCCAGTGTACAACAACGTTGCCACCGTCGACGCCATCATTACAGAGTGCCGGCAGTTCGAAGAAGCCAAGAGCCGCCGTATTACTCAGCGTTTCACCCGGCTGCCAAACTCGGCTGCAACCTCATCGTGTGAAGTCGCCCGCCAGTCCCCCATGTATGACAACGTCACGCACATTGTTCGTCGGGAAATCGAAGCCGTCATTCCGGCTCCTCTTCAGCCACGCGTTTTCGGAGCGCTCGCCTCTGACCAACAACAGTCGTCAGTGGCGTTAATACAAGCTGTGGTGAGGCAGGAGTTTGCGAACTTCGGCCTTCCATCAGCATGTCCCTTGACTCACCCTGAAGTCCCGTCTTAATCCCCAGGACACGCTCGCCGTTTACCTCCAACAATGCCCTTCCGTAATCCTTCGGAATGGCGAACACCCGACGACCGGCCTATTTGTTTTTCCTGCCACCAGCCTGGGCACGTTTCTCGCTATTGCCGCCGCCGTTGGTTAAACCAACCACGTCAGACCTTCTCTACTTCTGCGGACATACACCCGACGACCTCTCGAAGTTCAGCCGCCGCACCCTTCGATTTCTATTCGTCGTCATCTTACGAGCCTTCACTGATGCCTCTTTGCCCGGTCGCCGCTACACTGACGCCCCTTCGTCCAGTCGCCGCAGCTCCCACTCCCCGTCGCCGCTACATCACCAATCCCGCTCTCCGCCGCCTCGGCGCTTCTCGGCGCTTTTCCTCGCCAAGCTTCTCTGGACGATCGCTGCAGGAAAACTAGATATTGCAGCTTATAGAGGTGAAGCTGCAATACCAATGACGGCCGAAAATCCTCTACTGACGCTTCCTACGCACCACAGCCTGCTTGAAGTACAAGTCGATCATGTTCCTGTGACCGCCCTCATTGGCAAAGGTGTGCACCTGTCTATTATGAGCGCTTCTCTACGCCGCCGCTTGCAAAGGATTATGAAGCCGTCTACGACGCAGGAAATACGTGTTGTCAATGGCGGTACTGTACTAATAATCGGAATGTGCACTGCCTGTGTCAGCATTGCCAGTCGTCATGCCGTGGTCCTTTTTGCCCTGCTAGCCTGTTGCCCTCATGACCTCATACTTGGCCTTGATTTCCTTTTGACAGACTCGACCTTAATTAACTGTTTGTCTGGTACCCTCAGCCTCGATCTTTCAATCTTTGCCAACTACTCTGCAAAGCCCACCAGCCGCTTGAGCCCAGCCACTTTCGTTCGCCTGCCACCTCGTGCCGTCACGTACGCGTCTTTGTCATCGGCCCCTACCGTTCCTGATAAGGATATATCGTAACGCCGATTACTGACCTTCGCCTGACGCGCAGTGTTACTGTGCCCCATACCATCGCGACCATAGCGATAACTGTGTGCTCGTTCCGCTCCTTAACTTTGGTTTTACCCTTCAAGTGTTGCCCTGCCAGATGTCTCTAGCCCAGCTAACTGCCATAACAGAGGACGATGTCTGTGTTGCTACTGTATTTGCTCCTGATCGAAGCGCAGTCTCATGGTCACCCAGCTCAGACGATGCTATTTTTCTAAACATGATTGGATCGGAGTTTTCGCCTCACCAAGCTGACACTCTCTGCCAGGTTTTGACCTCATACAGGGCTATTTTCGACACCGACAATCGTATCTTGGGCCAGACTAAAATTGTCACTCACCGAATCAACACTGGTGACTCTGTGCCCATTCACCGTCGGCCATACCGCGTGTCAGCGTCCGAGTGAGAAGTTATTAAAAAAGAAGTGGCCAAAATGCTTACGAAAAACGTAATTGAACCATCATTGAGCCCTTGGGCGTCTCCCGTGGTGTTAGTAAAGAAGAAAGACGGCTCATGGCGTTTCTGCGTTGATTATCGCCACCTCAACAAAATTACCAAAAAAGACGTGTACCCTCTACCACGCACTGATGACGCTCTCGATTGCCTCCATGGTGCCACCTTCTTTTCATCTCTCGACCTCCGATCTGGCTACTGGCAAATTGCTGTAGATGACATGGACCGAGAAAAGACCGCCTTCGTTACCCCTGACAGTCTTTACCAATTCAAGGTCATGCCCTTCGATCTCTGCAACGCTCCAGCGACCTTCTAGAGAATGATGGACATGCTCCTACATGGTTGACATGTTTGTGTTACCTGGACGACCTGATCATTTTCTCACCTACCTTCGCAACCCACCTTAAACACCTTTTGATCATTGTATCCATATTTCGACGGGCCGGCCTGCAGTTCAATTCCTCCAAGTGCCACTTCGGTCTTCGTCAGATTACCATGTTGGGTCACCTTGTTGACGCTGCCGGCATACGATCAGACCCGGCGAAAGTACGCGCTGTAGCAAACTTCCCAGTCTCACGCTCTACCCATGATGTTCACAGTTTCGTGGGACTCTGCTCCTACTTTCGCCGGTTCGTGAAAAACATTGCGGCACTCACACGGCCACTCACCGATTTTCTCAAACAAGACGTCCCATTTTGTTGGGGCCCTCTTTAAGCTGACGCCTTCTCTCAGCTAATCACCGCTCTAACGACAACTCCTATTCTTGCACATTTCGACCCCGCTGCTCCTACAGAAGTGCGAACAGACGCGAACGGTCACGGAATCGGTGCAGTTTTGGTGCAAATTCAGTGGAGCAACGACCGTGTAGTCGTGTATGCAAGCCGTCTGCTTTCAAAGTGTGAATGCAATTACTCTATAACAGAACCGGAATGTCTCGCCCTTGTCTGGGCGATTTCGAAATTCCGTCCTTACTTGTATGGCCGCCCTTTCCGTGTCATCACAGATCATCACGCGCTGTGTTGGCTTTCTTCTCTGAAGGACCCCTCTGGACGACTTGGCCATCGGGCATTACGCCTACAGGAGTATTCCTACTCGGTTGCTTATAAGTCTGGACGTCTCCATCGGGACGCCGATTGCTTATCCAGCTACCCTGTTGATCAGCCCGACGAACCAGATATCGAGCCTAGCCTCAGCATCATGTCAATGTCCCAGTTTTTTCAGATTGGTTATGAACAACGTCGTGATGCTTCCCTGCGACAACTTATTGACCGTCTCGAATCTGCTCCGAACAACGCGTCGCTTTGCATGTACGTCCTCCTGAATGGCACGCTGTACCGTTGTAGCCTC